AACGGTTCACAATTAGCTCTTTTTTTCTCACCTGAACTTCAAAGAAACATTGTGAGTGTCTGTGTGCGAGGTTGTTTGTTGTTGTTGTTGTTTGTTGTTGTTTCCTGAGTTTACACCAAACTGGGTGTTTTTTGGCTACTGCGGGGGCAGCACTCACTGAACGTGTTGAATGTCTCTGAGTCTTTAGGGCACCAATATGAGACTGTTATTAGACTGTTTTTTAGACTTTTATTAGTACTGTTTAATAGCCGGCCAATAACAGTCCAATAACAGTCTAATATCGATGTCGCTCACTCCCCTCTGGGCCACCGTAATATGGAGCCAGAGTTGGTGATTGTTGGAAACACTAACAGAGACGGTTCAATCAGTTTTATTCTGTCTCATCCTTTTTGGTCTGAGACACTTCATCACCATCTAGTCTCAAACTGATTGTATATATAAACATGAATCACTTGTTGTTTCTGCTGGAAATAAGTTGTTGAGGTTTAAAGTTCTTCGTGTTTTAAAGAATCTTCTCAGATCAACGTTTTCAGTCTTCAGCTTCTGCTAATAGATCTTTACATGATTTGAGGCAATTTTAATAACTGATGTTAAAAATTTCCCAATCCATTCTGCCTCCACTGGTGGTTTCGTACGGATCCTCCCAGGAAACATTTTGGGTCTTAAGCTGTCAGATAAGAGTTGGTCCACTGTTAGTAACTGAGTATTAAACTCCTATCAGTGTTTGTTCAGTGGAAACTGTCACGATAAGAAGAATTTAAAACTGTTTCTTTCAGCCTGAAGGCAGATCTCCGTGAATCATTAGAGAGCTGCTCTCTGTCGCTGTCTGTTAATGTTTGATCACTTTATGTTTTAATGGTTTATAGCTGTGGGAACTTTATGACTGGGCGGTGAGCCTGTTGACCTGCTCGCTGAGGAGCGGCTCCGTCAGTGACACACTGCACATGTGACATATGTCATCGTATGTCATCATATGTCAGACTGTGTTATATGTCCACTCACCAAAGGAACAAAGGTCTGCTGTGTTACAATCTGTGTTTGTTCAACATCATGCTCGGTCTTGGTTAAGTGCTAGCGGTACTGTTGCTATGGTTACCTCCTTCAGCTTTTAACAGACCCTCCAGCCAATCAGAGCAGAGCAGGATTTTCTGTTGCTTTGCTCAGTCCGATCACAGTCGAGCAACTTCCTCCTCTCCTGTACTTAGATATGCTACATGCTAGGCTAATCTATGTTGGAAAGACAACCACATTTTCCAAATGGTTAAAAGATAAAAGAGACACTTCAACAATTATATTTGTATAATGCTAAATTATAACAGAAGTTATCTCAGGACAGTTTTCAAACATAGCACATAGCGTGTGTCTTCAGGATGTGGTTGTCTTTTAAACACAGATTAGCCTAGCCTAGCATGTAGCATATCTACAGGAAAGGAGGAAGTTGATTGAGGCTTGCTCAACTATAAAGGGTCAGTTGATGATGTTTAAGAGACCTTGAGGAAGTCCTTGAATATTTCCCAGTTGTCCTTGAGTAAAGTGCTAACAGAGCCTGGAGCATCGGGGCTATTGTTGATATGTGATTGGCAGCGTTGAACTGCTTCCTGGTTAAACTTTACCTTCTGGACTCGCAGCAGTTGGGTGTTGGTGCAGTTTCACAACAATGTGGATCATTTTCAGGGTCAGTCGGGGGTGTGCTCACATAAAGGTAACACACACCGACAGCGGGATGCACAAAACACCTTCACCTGTTGTCTCTCATGTAAGAGGACACATCTGTGTTGACTTGATGTGATGCATTATGGGTCAATTAACTTACAAACAACACTCAGCAAATCTTCTGTATGTGCGAGTGTTGATCTTCAGTTTGAAAAAACTGTAATTGTTTTGTCTTTTTAATGTTTAAAGATTGTTTACAATTTGTTAGTAAGCACTGACGTAACAAACAGCCTCTCTGACTTAGCGGTAAGGCTTTGCCCCCTCACTGTCAGTCAGAAGGCCAAACGTAGCTTCTATATTTACGTGCAACTCCTCCGTCATCTTTTTCTACCACGATATCGCAAGAATACTGTATTTGAAAGTATCGGATAGTAATCCGGTGCAGCCCTCAGGCAACATCGAGGTGGATTGGAAAGGTCCCGCACCGAATCCAACAACACGCAAACTCCAATCATCAACATGAGCCAGAATATTCACTCTGCCTGCCGAATTCCCAACAAGCCTCCACAAGTGAAGGCAGTGGTGGAAAGTGGATTCTTTAAATATATGGTAATAATATTGATATTCTACTCTTAATCAACATACAAAAAATAAATTCGCCTGAATTTTACGACATTTCTAACCTGCGGTACACAATAACATTACAAAATCTCTTAACCTGCTCCAGACCCTCAAAAGATGCGACTGCTTATCTACTAAAAGAAAATCGTCATTTTTTTTCGCATCCATTTACAGATATGCTTGTATACCAGTTGATGGAAAGTTGAATAAATGTTCGTTTATCAGCTGTCATAAAGCAGCATTGTAAAGACTGTCCAAATATAACAGTACTATTTATCAAGTGTACAAACAAGCAATAAATTACTGTCATCATTCACAGATAATGACTTTTATCTAGCAGTAATCCCTACAATATTACCTACTTTAATATTCACGCATTAAAAACCATGAAAACCAATCCAATAATAAACAGCACTCTGCTGCCAAAAATGTAAGCCTGATTATTGTTATTACCCCTCACTCGAGTTTCCACCTGGAATTTATAGATCATTGTTTTAACACTGTAATAAAAGCATTAAAAAGACAAAACAATTACAGTTTTTTCAAAAACTGAAGATCAACACTCGCACCAATACCAGAAGATTCTGCTGAAGTTGTTTTTGTAAGGTTAATTGGACCCACATTATATTTTTTGCATCAACATCAAGTCAAACACAGATTGTTTTGTCCTCCTTACATTGAAGAGACAACAGGTTGAAGGTTTTTGTGCATCCCCAACAC